CCTCATCCTCCTCCTCAGGCCTGGCCTCTGCCCCTGGACACGCCATCTGCAGCCCTCTCCGGGCTCCTCCTGCCCCTCCTTCCTGGCCCAGCACCTTGCAGCAGTGGGACTGCCAGACTGGCAGCCCCTTGTACTAGGGCAGCTGCCGTCGGGGAGACCAGCACGTGGCTGCATCCGGAGGCCCGCCCACGACCCTCCCGATGGACCCCAGGGCCAAGCTGAGGCTGCCCCCAGACCCGCCTCGCCTGTCCCCTGGCGTCCATCTCCTGCCGCCCTTAGACCCTAGGTGCTCCCGAGCAGGCAGGCTGCAGGAGGACTCCCCTTCCGGGTGTCCAGGTCCGGGGTCACTGAGCCTCCTCCTTCTGACAATGGTTGAAGCCCAACCATCTGCAGATACTCCTTAGATTTACCCCCTCCCTGAGCAGGAGACCCCTGGTTGCCCCTCCACAAGCGAGGGCAGGGCTGGGGTGAATGTTCACTGAGGACCAGGGGGAGCAACCCCTGTGGGACCAGCTCTGCTCTGCAGCGGTGACGCCCCCCTCCCCACTTTCCTCCGGGCTCCAAATATCCCTTTAATGTAATGCTGTCCACTCTGTCCTGGAGGTGTCCACCAGTCCTGCTACATGTGAGCCCGTGCTCCCCCTCCTGGCCTGCTCTTCCACACACACTCCTACTAACCTGCAGTGCCCTGCCCCTGTGTGATGCCCCCCAGCGTCTCTGTTCCCCTCCCGTGGGCCAAACTGCTTGTAGCCCTTCTGCCTGGCCCTGCTGCCTGGCCCGGCTCTCCTGCCTGACCCTGGCTCTGTACTGTTAGCACAGGGGGGAGGAGGTGGGCTGGACCATCTGGACCAGGACCCAGGTCAGGGGCCTGAGCTCCTGCCCTTGCCCTCAGTCTGAGCGCGACCCTCCCCTCGAGGCCCGGGGCCCTGCAGGCTGGACTGAGGCCTGAATGAGCGAGCGCCTGCAAAGTCACGCAGCCCAGCCCTGAGGGCAGCCACCGTGAGCACCCAGGGCAGGGCCACAGGCCATGTCTCCTGCCTTCTCCTGGCTGGAGGCTGGTCCCTGAACTGGTGGGGAACTCAGCAGTTCTTCTGTCCATCGAGTTTGCTGTTAGATGATGACCAGCAGGACCCTGCTGACCCACCTGGGTTGGGGCCCCTCCCTAAGCTGTGGGCTAAGGAGACATGGGTGGCCCTGGGCAGAGCTTTCTCTGTGATGCAGTCTGTCCTCCAGGTCAAGCTAAGTGTGGACAGAGGAAGGGGGAGCCACCTGGGCTGGGGAGGCAGGGGCTGCCTGGACGGGCGGGAGGGTCTGGGGGGAGCTGGGCTTCCTAGACCAGAGACCAGAGGCAGTGCTTTGTGGGTGGGCAGCTGGTACGGGTGGGAACAGGGTCTGAACCCGGGCAGAATCCAAGAGCCTGGGGAGCAGAGTCAGGGCCCACTCTGTGGGGCAGAGGACCGGTGCAGCCCAGATGGGGACTGCTGTGGGAAGAGAGCCCAGACCTGGTCTTGCCAAAGCTGGGGCTCCACGGAACATTCTCCTAAAATAATCCTGCAAGCGAACAGCAGCTCCTACAAGTTACCCTCCTAACCACACCTTCTCAGTGTCACACCACCCCAGAGCTGCAGCAGGTGACTTCCTGGGTCCTCCTCGTTCTGCAGATCCACAGGACCAAAGACCAGCTGGCCAGCGAGACCCTCCAGGACCCACGGTTACAGGACCACTAGCTCATGGCTCTGGCCAGCTCCTCCTGCTGCTGGGCTGCTGGGCTGCTGGTTTTGAGAAACCTGTGATGTTCCATACCTGAGGACGTGCACGACCTAGAATACACAAACACACACATGCAGGTGTATAGTGCATGAGCATTGTCACATGCGTGTGCACACGTTTACATTAGTGCAAGTCCACACATCTGCACACGCATGCACAGGTGCCTACAGAAACCTACCGCACGTGTGTGTGTGCAGAGTGCCTGCATGCACACCCATGTAGACGTGCTCTGTAGTATTGATTAAGAGCAGAGGTCACATTCAGTCCTTACCCAACACCATCCACTCAGAAATGCAGAATGAAGAGGAGCGGCGGTGACATCTGCTAGGAAGTGTTTTAAGAGGAACTGGGAGCATTAGTGATAACTACTGTGATTATGCCATGTCTGAAAGGCCCCAGATTATCGCATGTTCACAAGAACATGCTATTGCAACAGGGTAACTGCTAATTGTCATCGATGGTTTTCTTCCAAAGAAGTGGGTGCATCTTCCAGGCAGAAGCCTGTGCAGGTCTGGCATTGATTTTCACCAGATTTTGTTATTACATTTGTCTCACAGCTTTAAAATAGTAGCAAATGTGTGCAATTTATTTAAACAACACTAGGGAAATTAACGGCGCGCCAGCTCCTCCGTAGCAAATGGAGACAGAGCAGGTGGAGGCCAGCTGTGTCAGAACCTGTGCGAGGCGGGGTCTGGGTGCGGTCCCGGTCCTGGCAGCCCTGCTGGGGTGGAGGCATCTCCTGCGGAGCCTGGCTGTCTCTGCCCCATGCTGGGAGGGGAGGGCCCCAGCTGCAGACCTTCCTCCCAGGGGTGGTGCGTCAGGCCAGGCCCCTCCCCTCACCCCAGGGCAGGTGGCGCTTGGCCAGTCTGTCCTCCAGATGAGCTGCAGAACAGAAGTGGCCCATCCCTTCTCCTGAGGCAGGTACCTGGGGACAGGTGAGCCTCGTTCCTGTGGGCCGGGGACCTGGGCAGGGCACATCTGCAGAGCTCCATCAGTCACCCTGCGGCCCAGTGAGTGCCAGCTGCCGCCCCCCACAGCCAGGAAGGCGTGTTCCTGACGAGCACCTGGTGCCAGCCGCTGACCCAGGACCAGCCTGAGAGATGAGAGTCTCCCAGCCCCTCGGTTTAAAGGGGGCCCTGAGGGCAGGGGGCACCCTCAAGGCCCGCCCCCCACCTCTTCTCAGGAATATCCATTTCTGCCTTGCCCACTGCACACCTCCCATGAGGACAGGCCAAGGGATGCTGGTCCATGGACAGCCAGGCCCTGGAAGGAGGCACCTGGCCAGTGCTCTGTCCTTGGGGTTGGTCAGGCCCTCCTCTGCCTTGGGTGCTGTGTGGCCTCTCCAAGTTCCCCTGCTTCCTCCCTAGCAGAGTGGAGTGATGAGCTTCCCACTGAAGTGCTGATAGGAGGATTCTGGGGGAGAGTGCATGGAACAGTGTTGGGCCAGAGCCTGGAACCTAAGTGTCAGAACAAGGCTCCGGTTATCGTTGTTTATCTGACATTAAATGACGTCACACCTCCCTCATTCTGACGTGACCCAGGGGACACTTTGGGTTTTATTGTTGAAGACTCTCGAATGCAGGCCCGACGGGAGGAAGGGGCAGGGGCTCCTGGTGTCCTCATCCGGGTGGTCTGAGGCACTGGTGGCGAGCAGGGGCGGGTGCCGGGATGGTTCTGCACCCGGCAGGCAGCCGCTCTGTGTGCAGCCTTATTTCCACGCCGTCTTTTAGCACAAGGCAGGGGCAGCCCACAGAACCATGCCGAGCACAGCAGGTGTCCTTGCCTGGGTCCTGGGCTCCGCAGAGGCCCTTGGATGGAGGGCAGCCTGTCAGGTGCCCAGCCAGCATGGCCCTCTGCCTTGGGCTGTGCTGACCAGGCTCTGCCTCCTCTGGCTCCCGGAGACTCAGTCTAAGGTAAGCGTGGGCCCGGGCAGGGCTGAGCTTGCTGTGAGGAGAGGGACATGAACGTGTCCCCCGCGCACCGTGTGGGCACTCCGCTGCCCTGGGACGTCCAGGGAGCCTGCAAGTAGAGGGCAAAGCCATAGCACAGAACAAGACCCCAGAGTGGCACGCAGTGACAGCAGCGTCCCAGATGTGGCTGTACTGAGGGCCTGCCCAGGCATCCAGGGATTTCCTGGTGATTTTACCACCGTGAACGCATCTCCCTGGACGCCCTCGTCCACCCAGGCTCTCGGCTGCGGAGCTGCTGTCCCCGGGCAGGGCTGCTGAGGCTCTGGTTAGCTGCTGGCACCCTGGTGGGGAAGGCTGTGCTGGCCGCAGGGCCCAGCAGCTCCGGGAGCCGCAGTGGCAGCACAGCAGGCTCACACAGGCTCACACAGGTGACGGCCACATTCCTCATCGTCACCTGACCCGGAGCTCTCGCCACCATGCCCAGTTCAGAAAGAGGAGGCGGGACACGCTCTAGTGATGCCAGAAACATTAGGCTCTCATCTGCTGAACCCAAACCCCACACCCCTGCCGTCGCCCCCACTCACAGCCTGAGTCACCACGGGCTCCCTGTGTGAGTGTTGATCCTGCTTGGTCTTGTCAGTTGGACAGGTGGACAGGACACACCACTCTAATTTGCATTTTTTATTGCTGGAAGATGTGGACATTTTCACAAGTTTATTAGCCATTAATATTTATTTTGCTGTCTTTTTATGTCCTTTTCCTGTTATGAAAAAATAGTTCGTTATTTCTTATTGATTTGTAAGAGCTCTTTCTATAGAGGCTATTAACACTCATCAAATTGGTTATACATTATATTTTCCAAACTTATCATTTGCTTTGTGGGTATATTTTTATAAACATGAGTTTAAAATTAAAATGGGTCGGTCTTCCATGCTTTCCCCCATTATTTGGGGTTTGCAAAGCCCTTACTGAACTGGAATAGAGCTCCATGGTGGAGCGTGTGCTTAGCAAGCATGAACTCGTGGGTTCAGTCACCAGCACCAAAACATAAATAAATGACAGGAGCCCTGGTCCACCCTGCTGGTGACATTGTTGGTGGCTGTGCCTCTCTTGAGCGGCCTCTCCCCTCTAATCCTGTAACCCAGGCCCTGAGTATCGATGAGGGTCTTGCCCCATGTCTTCCTGACTCTGCCCAGAGTTCCCAGATTCCCAGCTTCCCTCTACCAAGAGCGGCAGGTTCTCCTAACAGACGTGCTTCTCCGAGGTGCGAAACTTAACCAGACTCCCCTGACTCTTGTCTCCCTCCACTCAATGCTGCAGAGAGGAAAGAAGAAAGACATGACCCTGGACCCCTCCCAGCCCCCAAGGGACACGCTGCTGCCCTGGCCTCCGCACCAGCGCTCCGGGGGGCTGAGGCGGCAGAAGCGAGACTGGGTCATCCCCCCCATCAACGTGCCGGAGAACTCGCGCGGGCCCTTCCCGCAGCAGCTCGTGAGGGTGAGTGGGGCCCTTCCTGCTCGGCAGGGGGTCGTGGGGGGCGGCCGAGAGCCAGGCAGCTCTGCACACGGTGTCAGGAAGGCCGAGGCTGCCCTGTCCCTGGAGGCCTGCGAGGTGCAGAGCAGAGGCCAGCAGGGAGGAGGCGGGCCCCAGGGCAGGGCCTTCTTGGTGGTGGCCGAAGCTCTCTGGGTTAGTTTTGAAGGCTGTCTCGTGTGGAAGCAGGTGGGGCAGGGACACGGAGCCGGCCTGTGACCTCTGACACACTGTGGTCCAGCCAGCCACATGTCTTTCCAAGTGGCCTGGTGGCACCTCTGTGCCGTGGTCCTGGCACAGAAAGCCAGCGTCTCGCATTGGGCAGGGTGCCACCTGCTGCTTGTGTGCCTCCAAGCCCCCAGCAGCTGCCGTGGCTGCCCGTCCTGCAGGGGGGTCTGTGTTTCTGTGGTCAAGACGATCACCCATCGGCCAGCATTTTCTTCTTCCCCTTGAAGAAAATCACAACCCAGTCTGAGCTGTAATTTGATAAAACGATGGTGAGATTCTGTTCGATGATTCCAATCCTTGGTGGAAAGGCCTCATCCGTCTGTTTGGAAATTAGCCCCCAGAGTGTGGAGCGGGGCGTCCTGTTCTTGGTGCTGATGAGTCGCTCTGTCCCTTGTCCCTCTGGATGCACAGGACTGGGAGAAGGGGCCGGGAAAAGGCTTACTAAAACCAGCAGCCAGGGACTTCAAATATCTCTTCTGAACATAAAGAGTTAAAGAAAATGTAGTCAGAATGAATGAAGAGATGGGGAATAGACAGCACAAAATGGGATATTTAAAAATATATCCAAATGGAACTGATAAACCTGAAGAGTGCGTCCTTTCTAAAGAAAACCTCACTGAGGAATAGGCTGCAGAAGGCAGAGGAAAGGGTCAGTGCATTTGCAGATAGATCAATAAGATCGTCCCATTTGAGGAATGGCTGGTGGGAGGACTGGAACATACAGTTTCAGTGGGACGATGACAAGAGACCCAGAGAAAGACAAAAGGGAGATTGAGAAGATTCATCGAAGAAATAAAGGTTGAATTTCCCCCAAATTTGGTAGAGAAACAAACATATAGATCCAAAAAACGTAATGAATCTGGACAGGATACATCCAACAAAGCCGTTCCTGACAGTCGAACTGCTGAGATTCAGCCATAACGAGAAGCCCCCGAGCGAGGGGAGCAGACCCACAGATGGCCGCAGAGGGGAGATGGTGACTTCCCTCCAGAACAATGGCAGCCACGGGCCAATGGGGTGACCACAATTGCACACCCAACAGAATGCCTTCCACAAGGTGGAATGAAGAAAAGTCGTTCCTGGTGTGCACACTGAGGGAACATGTCACCTGCACACCTACAGGAAGTGTGAAGGACCTTCTTCAGCCGAAAACCACTGACATCAGCCCAAATTTCAGACCCACAGGAAGGGACGGACACTGTGGAAGACAGGGACCTCCCCTTCATTTCTCACTAGGTGAAGCCGGGGGGTTGAACCGTGGGGCTGAATGACTTGTGTAGATGACACATGACAGCAACGTGACAACTCAGCCAGGCAAAGACCAGGGGCTGAAGCCTGCAGGGTGCACCTCCCTGCTTCTGATAACCGGCTCGGTATCGCTCTGGGGGCTCCATACTTTTCTTGTGGGGATGCCTAGAGTTAGAAGAATCTCCTACAGAGGTTCAGGTGGGAGCATGAGCGGAGTCCCCGCGGAGCAGAGTCTGCTGACCTCCCGTCCCTGATGAGCGCGTTTTCTGGGGCCAGAGAGGCCATGGTGAGCAGGGCATAAAGGACCGACTGTCCCTGGGAAGGAACCAACATGTTCCCAGAATCCAGCTGTGATGGCTTTTCTCCCCAATAAACAGATGGTGACAATGTGGCACCTTCCCTCTGTGCAGACACAGAGACCACGACTGGACGGGGAGACTACCTAAGATTGACTGTGGGAGCCACCCCTGGGCCATGAGCTCAGCCCCAAGGAAAGGCCTCTGTGGAGAAGCCCTAATGCAGAAATAAGGTGGCCCTTGGCCCTGCCCGTCACCTGCCAGGTGGGGGCAGTACACATGGGGCCTGGCCAGTGCTGCCCCAGTGGTCCCAGCACAGCAGGATGGGCTGTCCCCAGCTGCCCCAAGCCTCCCCGTGACCACACATCTCCCTGTGCCTACCGGGAGTTCGTACCGTGCTTGCTAAAGCCCAAGGGACGTGGAGAAAGCGGTCGTCCAGGGACCTGGTGCCTGGGTTCTGTGGTCTGATCAGTCATGGGAAGGGAACGTGCAGCCCTGTGTGCACCCTCCCCATCTGAGCAAGAAATGTCCCCTGGCTTGAATTGCTCTAATGGCTGTATTTATGCAGCTGAAAGTGTCTTAAGAAATGAAAGTAAAATCAAATTGCTGCAAATGCTCGGATAATTTATTAGAGAATATTCAATTAGAATACATTAATATTTTAGATTTCCATCATCAATTTAATATTTGGGATTTAGTGCAGTCACTGAGCTGCGGTGCCCTGTGGCGGGTGTCCAGGGTGAGGGCTCCAGCAGGGGCACTCCAAGTCCAGCAGTGGCCATAGGCCTCGTGTGGCTGGGCAGGACACAGACCAGGGGTGGGCCAGGTAAGGGTAGTGGGGTCCAGGGGATTCGGGGTGCGTCACCCTGAGGACCAGAGGCAGACAGTGGGGAGTCTTCTCGGGATGTTGGGGCCAGGCGGCCCCTCCCTTGTTGTACCGGGGTAGCCTTCACTCTGGAGCGGTGGCCCTCTTGGGGACCATGAGTATGTCATTGACAACACCAGGGGACAGCTGAGTCCTCCCCTGCTGAGCCAGCTTGCCCTCCGGGAGGGGGCTGTGGAGGAAGCAGGTGGGCGGGGTGGAGGAGAGGGGTGAGCGCACAACAGGTACATCTGGGACCCGAGGACAGGGGTGCCAGCACGCTCTCCCAGGTAAGGTGACTGAGCCACCTCTGAGGAGGGAACCCACTGCAATGGCGGTAGAACTGTGGTGACTGGGGGCAGGAGCTCCAGAAAGGCTCAGGGTCCCGAGAAAGAGCCAGGAGGTCAGAGTGACAGAGAGCCATGCCCAGGGAGAGGGTGAGAGAGATGAGCTGAGAGCATCAGGGCCAGGTCACTGGGGCGGGTGGCTGTGGGAGGACTCAGCATGTTACTTTGAGACTCGAAGGGACCTGATGTGGCTATCAAGCTCCCCGCCATGCTGCTGCAAGTGAGTCAGATGACAGGGACAAGAGTCACAGGAGGAGGGTAATGGGGGGAGGGGGTCCACAGGACCCCTGTGCAGAGACAGCAAGGATCCAGGGATGAATATCTCGTTTAATTAAAATAAAGGCTGGAAACCCCCAATAAATCCTTTTATTCTCTAAGTTTGTATGGCGAAATTCAAGATCTGGGAGCCGACGCCCTGAGACTTGAAAGATCCTGGGGTCCTCCCTCCCTCTGAGGCCGTGGCTCCAAAGAGATGGTGGTCATGGGAATGGTGATGAGGAGGAGGAGGAGGGGGATGATAATGATAATGGTGCTGGTGGTGATGGGGATGGTGGTCATGGTGATGGGGATGGTGGTCATGGTGATGGGGATGGTGCTCATGGTGATGGGGATGGTG